TATATATATATATATATATATATATATATATATAAACGAAGATACTAAAACGAAGATACTAAAAATAATTTTGTTATAATTTTGGCATTTTAACCTCTGTAAAAGTGACATAGAATTTTGAAGTGAAACAGACTTTCAAGGCAATTTGCTGAACATTTCAATCATCTCAGCCAGCAGGAATCACAACCTGTTATAAATTAACAGAAAGTTCTGCAGTCTTTTCGACATATATTGCAACCACTACATTTCTTTTATAATTCGATTGGAGCCAACTGCCAATTCTCTCAAAATAAAAAACAGGGACAAAGTTTAATCAGCCGAAACACTATCAGAATAATTACCATGCCATACCAGTCTGAGGTCTCTTCATCCTGTTTCATGTCTAACTTCAGCGTGCCCCACTGTACGTGGCATGTGAATACGGTCAGCTTGATGCAGTGGTGTGTTTATTAGAAAATGGAGCCGACTTTAGCCGTAACAATTGCGGGGTAAGGCTTCTTCCTGAACTGCATAATAAGCTTAACAGAAAAGTCGCCAAAGCATATCTTTTTGTAGTAATGTTATCAAATACAGTTTTATACTTTTCTTTTGACTTATGCATTTTCGACAATAGAGAACTTCAAAGCGGTTCGAACAGTTCTCAGCGGTAATTTTAGTTGAAGTCTTTGCTTGCTGCTTCTCAAAATGGCTTCAGAGATGTAGTAGGATATCTGCGTGAAATATGGTTTTATGCTGATTTTGACAGCACAAATATGGTAAAATTTTCTAATATAAATAAGTAATTAAGCTCTATATTATTCCTTTGCTTAGAAACATTTTCAGTTTTTGCATCAACGGAATCTCAGATTCTTCTTCTTTTTCTTCGTCAACCATGTAAAGGATCTTATGATTTTTACTCCAGAAAACAAAGTTAATCAGTGCCGTACAAAACGGCTGCACTGCAGCTGTAAAGTATCTGGTAGAACGAGGAGCTTTGGTCAACGAAGTAGGCGATGAGAGGGTAATGCTGAGAAAATTTTGAGCAATCACCGCTGTGTTATTCTCTCATTTTTTTCTAAGTAACTTTCTGTAATTCACTGGCGCGCTCGTTAACCATTATGGTAATTTTGGATCGCATCGTGTACAATTTAATCGACATATAAAAACTGTGCAGCACAAACTTCTTGACTGAATCGGCTGCATTGTTTCCTTCTAATTCAGTCTTTAATAGTTACTCTGTTATTCCAGTGGACACCATTGACGACTGCCTGTCAGTACGGACATCTAGAGGTGGTAGAATATCTTTTAAGCAAAGGACTTAATCCTACTTCAGAAAGGATCAGTGAGGTAGATCTCCACAAAAAGAGAGAGTTGCTCGTCTCTTATTTGCTTCTCAAAACTCTGTACTCTCACCTTCCAAATTTCGGCTATGTTTGCACTTTTTAGTACTCAGTAGGTAGCTGCTTATTATATTTTAGACAACTCCGCTATGGACCGCGTCAAAATATGGCCATATAAATATTGTTAAATGCTTGGTTGACAGAGGTAGCGATGTCAACAAAAAGAACAAACACGGAGTAGGTCGCTTTTCTAAATAATGACAGTTTGATATCTGAAAACCATGTTTTCTGTTTAACAAAGGCAAGAGAAGAATAAAAAGAAATGATGACAGCGTTAAAATTTCCTCAGAAAAACGGCATCAAGCAAAGTTCAAGTAAAACAATCTGTAGTTGCTTTCAAAAGCTTTATATAATTTTGGCTCAAAACTTCTATTTTAGAACTCAAAAATAATGTCACATTATCTTTGTGATGTGCTGTTTAATTATTTCAGCCACAAAACGACTTTATTTCTTTTCTTTTGCTACTCATTTCACACACACAGTTCAAAAACTTAAAAAAGAATTCACCTGTTCTAATCCTTCCATGTTCTTGACTTGAAAGAAGTTTATTGTAATAAGCAAACTCAAGTCTTGACAAAAGTCAACATTCCTCTGTGAAATTAGCTGACACTTTCAACTTTGAGTCTAAAATTTATTAACAAATATTTGTGCAGTTTTTCAATTTCTTCTCACAGACTTATCTCAGCGCGATTTTCAGTACATCTCTAGTTTAAAACTTTTTTCGGCCAGTTTAAACAAGAAATCTCCAAAACAAAAAATTTTCAACTCTACTGAAAGGTAGAATTTTAAAACGCTATTTGGCATTTATTTCTTTAAAAAGAAATTTGAGCTGATCTTTTTTGTGCGCAGCCAGTATTTTGAAAACTAAGCGCAGTGTAAGACTTTTGAAAATTAGTTTCTCAGTTGCACGTCCAAATACTTCACCAATTTGTTGTTGTCAAAGGTTTGAAGCTTTAAAAGAGCGCTTTTAGCTACTTGCGGTGACTTCTGTCAGCTAATATGTTTCAAAAAACTTTTTGTCACTCCTAACCAATGCACTTTTTTAAACAGAGAGCGCTGACTAAAAACACCTTGTTTTCTCACCGTCCGTTAGCGCCGTCAGCGCATTGTATTAAATCTTTCCGCAATTACCCAAAAAATTTAGAGTTGTTTCAGTTTGGGGACCCCATTTTTTTTTCTCTGGGTATGGTACTATCAGGCTATGTAGGATGGTGCATCTTGTATAAGGCTGAAACTGAGCAGCACTCTACTGCCCGACATGCTGACCAGCAACAGGTCCGAAAAATATAGACTGCAAAGAGAGCCTTTATACAGTCAAGCGGTGTACTATGGACAGGTTTGTGAGATAAATATAGGTAACGTGGAGAACTAGACCACACCTTGCAGTGGATCAATGAGTCTCTCAGCAAATGCATACCGCCTTTTGCAGGTTGTTATACCAGGCGAGAGTGTGTTGCACAAATGGGTTATTAAACAACCGCAAACACTAATACTACTCTATTGTGTGGGGAGAATGCTGGGGGGATTAAGCCAATTCGGTTCAGTTACCCGCAGTTTTTGTAAACCAAAAACTGCTGTACCAGAGCAGCAGTTTAAGACAAACATTAATGCTCTTCTAGCGAAGGGCTTCCAAAACTTGGACCGCGATGAGAACAGCAATGGCAATTAGGAATTTTTGAAGGTCATGAAGAACTGTTGCCTGGTACATTTCAGAAATTTGGGACCAAAGATAGTACAGTGGATTCTTTTTGAACAGCTTCTTTCACATAAACCCTGAAGATAACTGTCCAAGAGGGGCCGGGCGGTGTCATAAATGGATGGTGATGTCAGCAGTTCCTACAGATGGTTTATACAAACGCTACTTTTGTTCCTTTACCGTTTCCTTGGCTTGTTCGTTTGTGTTTTGCTTAACAACTAACACTTTTCGTCAAGATTAGGGAATAAAATGGTAAAAAATTGGTCAAGTTTTTTTTTTTTTGAAGTTTTTTTCCCATATGTTTTGAAATTTAGCACAACAGCGAAAAAAAAACAGAAACGGTTTGAAAAAAAAGAGGAACAACCAACAAAAGTTATCATAATTTTTTGCTTTTTTTTCTTATGTTTGTTGCGGTTTTTTGCTCCATAAATCTTAAATTACCAAATTAAAACCAAAATAATTTTTTGCTGTGCATTTTCAAACAGTCAGGAATGGTATTCCACATTTCTAAAAACAACAGAATGTAAAAGATTTGAATGAAAGTTTGCTAAATTTTGGGTAATTGAGCCAATATTCTCAAAGTTGGACAATTAAACCGACATCTTCAAAATTCCGCAAAAGAGCGAAAAGACGAAGGCGCACCCAACAAACTCCGAACCTACTGCTCGCAGCCAATCAGCGTGATGGGGCCACCGAGCTAAACTAGTGCCAAAAATTTTCCTTTATGTCAAATATGTTGCGATTGGTAATTAAAAATTCTAAAAAAGGTTTTAGGAAGAGACTGCTGTTAAACTTCTTTCTATAAAAAGAAATTCATATTAAGTCAAGAGAATCTCAAATTACACGTTAAGTGTCGCTGCTGCAGAAGACGTTAATGCGAAATCCGGCTTTGAATACTTCTCTGATTCAATGTTTTACGTTTTATAAATTATTCTGTTTTTGTTTGAAACTTATACTAGGTTTTACAGTCATTCCTATATGAAAAATCTATTTCTTTTATTTCTTGTTAAGCTAAACTTACTAAGGCAAGTGAAAATTCTTTATTTAGGTTATCCTATGCAGTAAACAACTCTTTGCGAAAAAGTTTGGCTTTTTAGTTCAATCGGTTGTTAGATTCGATTATGGAGCTGGAGCTGTAAAAAATACTGAATTGAAAAAAAAAAGCTCTTTTTTTACTTTAGTGGACTCCACTGATGATTGCATCGCAAAAGGGGCATGTTGCCGTTGTGAATTATTTGATACAGAAGGGAGCCATCGTTACTGAAAGGAACAATAACGGGGTAATTTAGTAGCTACTGCAGTAGTTAACCTGGCTTCACAGATATTTTGCTCTTTCTATATGTATTCTTCACTTTTCCTTGATTTGCTCTTCTGTTTTACAGCAGACAACCTAAATTGTAAACAAAAATTTTTACGTAACTCGATGTAAATATTAAAATTCTTTCGACATATTATTTCTCGTATGTTTAGAAGACACCTCTGCATATTGCCGCTGAAAGAGGGAATGTTGAAACTGTAGAGTGTATTTTCAAGAACCTAGCCAAAGTCAGTACAGAAGGAGATTTGGTAATTTTCTACTTGAAAACTCAAAAAATCTGGTTCCAAGCCGGTGGCAGTTTATGCTCACCTTTTCTGATTCTCCCGAAGCACTTCATAAATTCTGCACTATACATAGTAATTAATATGTGTACAAAGTATAAATACTGATTTATTCTTGGTTAGTTACGCTATGTAGTGTCCCAAAATTGCTGCGTCTAATCTTTTTGTTACTGAGGTTAGAAAAGTAAGTTCTGCTCCTCATTCTTCGAGGTGTTTTCGCATTTTGTATGTCGGAAGAGCGGTATAGGAGTTCTTCGCTCACATAACTAGAAAAATAAGAATTATGCTATTAAAATAAGAAATTTTTGACATACATGTGGCGGAGTGCATAAAAGTTTAACAGCTATAAAACTGAAGTATTGGTGTAGGTTTAGAAAGGCTTGTATTACGGAAGAGGGTATTTTTTGTAAAGGTTGATGTGCCATGTCAGAAGAAAGTTGCATTAAGCCTATATTTTTTCGTTCCATATTTTTCAGGAAGCGGCTTTAGCTATTGCTTCGCTAAATGGCCACACTAACGTTGTAAAATATCTAATCAAAAAAGGAGCGGATATTAACGTGGAAAATAGTGACGGGGTAAAGTGTACCACTAGTTCACAAAAATAAAAAACCCCTATCCAGTTTTAATCCTTATCTTATACATTTGGAAACAATTTCAACACTGTACCATTTTGGTGCACGAACTACTTTCAAAAAATTTTTTGTTTGCATATAAGGCTTACAGGCACACGTAACCCGGGGCAGTGGTTAGTAATTATCTACAGAACTGAAAATTAGCAATTTTTCAATTATATCAAGAGTTCTTAATTAATATGAGGTAGTTATTAGGGGATTTGCCCAACAAGCTGCCGAACGTCGTTATTTTAACGTTTCTGTACACCTCGTTTTTTTCAGTGGACACCGTTGATGATGGCGTCATACAATGGGTGCTTGGCGGTTGCTAAGGTTTTGGTAGAGAAGCATGCTGACATAAGCAAAGTTAACAAAAAATTGGTAAGTTTAGGGATCAAGTTATCACATTTACTAGAAAACTTAATTTTAAGGTTTAGAGGTTCCTATAACACACTTTATACACTATACAAAACCTCCAATAACTTAAATTGCGCGTTGAAAAGATTTAATTACTTAACAAATATGTGAATTTTTAGGGTTTTTCGATAAATCCTCTGTTTTCAGGAGACCGCAGTGCACATCGCAGCGAAAAGTGGGAAGATTAGCATTGTAAGACTGCTGATCGAAAGCGGTGGAAACGCTGATGCGAAAGACAACGAAGGGGTATAGTTTTGCTTGAATCATCTAGTAGATATATGACAAACAGTGATTCTTTCGTCAGTGTATTTCTTTTTCATCTAGTGAAAAACGGAACGAAAGTGTTGTTGGCATCTAACAACGTTACCACACAGATGAGGTGCAATGTAGTTTTCAACGTTCGCTTTCCAGTCCCATAAAACTCTCACAATTTCAAATCCGCGCATGCCACTTTTTCCATGTCAATTGAGCTCCCCAAAAAAAAATTACTTTTAAATTTTATTTTAATGTTTGTAATGCTGGTTTCAATTCTTTAAATCTACTATAAGGAGGCAGAAGCGGATCACCAGCAACCACTGTAACAACTTAAAAATTTGTTGCCACCAAACTGGCACGCCTTGATCGTGCAATATTCTCATTATTAGCTTTGTATGCATGTAGAAGATAAATGTATTTGTCTTTATGACTACAGCTTAAAACTTATTTTTCAAATAATCAGTTCTCTCATGCCAGATGAACACCTAAAGTATTGTGTTCTAAAATTATGTTTGAATTTGCAAATTCAAGCGCCGCATTTTTGAATATTTTTATAAAAGATGCACGGTAATTGTAGATGAACCCTTTGCACATTGCTTCAAAAAATGGGCAAATGGATGTAGTAAGGTACTTGGCGGTAAAGGCAACTAACACTAATTCAGAGAACGAGGACGAGGTAAAGTTTTCTAAATTTTTTTCAGTAGTCTTTCGCGAAATTTTTCAAGCGTGCGGTTTTCACGCAGAAATATGAACAGACAGCACTAACAGTTTCCCATACTGCATTAATTATTCACTAATTTTCTTCAAATTTTTTAACCGGCACAATAAAACATCTATGCTGCATTTGCACATAAAATTACAAGAAAAATATCAAACACATAAATTAGGTTCTGTAAAACAGTTACTTCAAATGAAAAATATTCTATTCTAAAACTCAAGAGAGGTACCATATATAGATATCAAAATTTTTCTTCTTACGCCCAATGCTTCACAAACTTGGAGTCGTTTCTAACCGCAGTTTCAGGCACTTACACCTTTAAAACAAATCCATAAACACAAAACTTCAAAGAAACGTTTCAGATGGCACCGCTGCACGTCGCTTCAGAATATGGCCATTCAAAAGTGGTTGACGTTTTACTTCGAAATGAGGCTGGCGTGAACGTAAAAGACAAAAATGATCCACCAAAATTCACCAAAATTTTTAAGATACTCAACTCATAATTCTTCAGTTTGGCTTTTTTTTTTCAAAATTGTAACAACTTCTAGCTATGATTTTAAACTTGTTGCTCTATGTAAAGTATTTTCTATCTTTGTAAAGGTGCGTAAACCTACAGTTTCTCAGAAAATACTTATTTTGGTTTTCATTTCTTCAGATGACACCGCTGCACGCTTCTTCAAAATGCGGTCACTCAGGTGTTGCCAAAGTTTTGCTTGAAAGTGGAGCTGACGTTAACGGGAAAGACAAGAATGCTGTAGGTGGTTTGTTAAGATTTTCGCAGAGTTATAGCTCTGAATAAGGTATTTTTTACTACTAAGAAAATATGTGAACCTGCAATCTTCAAAGACTCGTCTTCTTCTCTCTAGAAAACACCGTTGCACGTCGCTTCAGAGTGCGGCCACTCAGACGTTGCCAAAGTTTTGCTTGAAAGTGGAGCTGACGTCAACGGGAAAGACAAGAATGCTGTAGGTGGTTTATTAAGATTTTCGCAGAGTTATAGCTCTGAATGAGGTATTTTTACTACTGAGAAAATATGTGAACCTGCAATCTTCAAAGGCTCGTCTTCTTCTCTCTAGAAAACACCGCTGCACGTCGCTTCAGAATGCGGCCAGTCAGGCGTTGCCAAAGTTTTGCTTGAAGGTGGAGCTGATGTCAACAGGAAAGACAAGAGTGGTGTAATTGGTTTATTAAGAGTTTTTTGAGATTTCTGTAAAGTTGTAGTTTCAAATGAGATATTTCTTACTACTCAAAAAAATATGTGAACCTGGAATTTTTAAAAAGGCATCTTCTCCTTTCCAGAAAACACCGCTGCACGTCGCTTCAGAATGTGGTTATTTAAGCGTCGCCAGGGTTTTGCTTGAAGGTGGAGCTGATGTCAACAGAAAAGACAAAAGTGATGTTAGTGGTTTATTAAGGTCCCTTTAAAGTTATAGCTCCAAATGAAGCATTTTTCACTACTAAAAAAATATTTAAGCTTACCTTTTCAAGTAAAGTTTTCTTCTTTTTAGAAAACAGCGCTGAAAGTTGCGTGAGATGTTGCAGTGAGAGTGAAATTATAGACCTTGTTTACTAAAGCGGATGAGGTTGTACTAAGTAGTTGAAGCATTTTTTTTTTTTTTGGATTGGTTCTGAATTGGGTTTTGTGAACTATAAAAAGTAACTTTTGCGGTTTTGCCTTCTTTCATCTATAAGCGGCTGTGGAATAAGAGCAGAAAATATCTGCACTTTATTCAAAGCTGCTGTATTGCAGAATTTGCATAATTGAAAGAAGCTGTGGTTGCGTGAAAAAAATGCTAGTGAAAGCCCGCTAGTTCTGAAGTTTATTAATCACGTGTTACCTAATACTCGGTTTTTGCGCTTATATGATTAAACCAGTAGTCAGATAAGCACGTAAATGTAGTGAAGTATTTCTTTTTGGCTTTTAACTGTTTAACTGATGCTTCTCGCTATTCAAAAGCCAGAAGAGCAAAACCTTTTGGGAGAATTAGCAGTTTTTTTATTTTTTTCAATGACCTCTTCTTTTTTGCGAGACTGTTCCGGTTTTCTTGATGCAACTCTAGAAAATAGTTATAGTAAGAGTAGCTGATTCTTATTTCGTATTTATTAAGTTGCTTTCTAGTTTCTTCTTACCTATCTCAAGTTCACTCATCATCTATGTCGCTTATTCTGAGCATGCATCGTTTTGCTCCTATGTTTAAAGTTGAGTGCATCGGAAACATATCAGAATGGTTACCAAGTAAGGCAAAGGAATTCAAAAATTAGTTTTCTTATTTAAACTTTTTGTATAACTCAGGTTCCGTACAAAAAGTGTTTGAATGTGTCATAAATCGCCGTACATCTCTCAGATGATAAACTTGACCAGAAAAGCTGCTTTGAAAAGGAAGTCTTTCATTAGAGTACTCATCGCTTCTATTACGTTTATTAGAACAGCGATCAGTAAAAGAAATCGCGATATTACTAGTCATAGTGAAATAAGGTAGATAATTTTCAATAAAAAGAATTGTCTATTTGTAGTTGACTTTTTTTTGCCAGTTAAAATTTACTCTAGAACTTTGCTGACTTATCATCAGAGTTCAGCTTTACTTTAATTGCTATTTCTATTTGGCACTGAAGCAGATTAATTCACAGTTACACCTCTGTGCTTGAGAAACGTTCACCGGACAGTAGAAAATTCTGCAGAGACATTACTTTTGAAAATGAGTAAAGACTAAAAAGATTCCTTCAGATTTTTTCTTTCTCTTTAAGGTTATATCCGTTTTACACTAAAAGATAATTTTAATGCTCAGTCTTTATTTTCGCTCCTAATATAATCACGTATCAAAGTAAAGTAACTTTAAAATTTGGCTAAGAATAGTACTGCAGTAAGAAGTCGAAATAGGCGGAAGATCGACGAAAGCTGAATAAAAGTCAAAGAATATTTGCAAACAAAAAATTAAAAATTTTTTCCGAAAAAAAAAAGAAAAAAGTTTCAAATTCTATATTTTTGTACGGAAAAGTGAAAAATAAAAAAAAGGAATTCTACAGAAACAAACTTACGAAAAGAACGTTTTACTAAAGAAAAGTAAAGCACAGCTATAAAAAAAACAATCTTCAACAGTACATTGCAAAAGTTGCACGACGGAAGTAAAAAGGGGAAATTTCAGAGCAGTCAGTGCTGCCATTAAAATGCTCAACTTTTCCAAAATAAGACGCTTTTTTTGGAAATAAAAACAACATTTTTTTCTGTTGTTTAACTTTTCTAAATTATTACTGGTAACCTAATATCAACAACATTTTTTTAAAAAAAGGATGTCAATTTTCTGTTTTTTGATAAATAAGAAGTAAACTTACAAATCATTTAAGCGCTGTAAGCAGCCAAAGAAAAGTAAAGAAACAGTAGGGAAAAAACGTAGCACTAAAAGTTTTTTAAAAAATAAAATAAAGGAACGACAAATTTTTGGCTCAAATAAAAAAATAGAATGTTGCATCAACTTGAAAAAAAAAATTTGCAATACTAATGAGATTTCGCTTATTTTCAAAGTTGTTTTACTCGACATTTTCAGTTTTTACTAGCTTTGAATTGTCTGGATGCAACTTTTTCTAAGAAGGGGAAAGCAGAAGAGAACGAAAAATGTAAAAAAAATTAGTGAAAAAATGGGGTAAACGTCGAATTATTAGGACAAAGTTTTGAAAAAAACAATCGACAAAGTTATCATTGATTAAGGCAGTGAAAAGCTGAAAAAATAAGAAACTATAAAGTTTTATTTGTTCCACATTTCTCACATTTCTCGTCGAAACAATTCCTAAAAAAACAAAAATCTTTTCAAATTTCCATTTTGTCGAAAATAAGTAAAGAAAACAAAAAATGAAGAAAGTTTAAAACGGGAAAAGTTTGTAACGTAAAATAGAAGATAACACTATTTGAAATTTCTTATTTGTAAATAATAATTGAGAAAAAAAGAATTCAACGTTAACTCCTAAAAAGAAACTGATAAAAATTAGGCAGTTAAAGTGCAGAAGTATTTACAAAATGTTTACGCAAAAAGTCTGTCATTCCTTCACAATTTTTAAGAAATTTACTTCAAAAACACCACTGAAAACAATCATGAGTCCTCAAGAATCTCATGAACCTTAGCAGTTTTTGCTGCAAACGAACCGTACAATGTGAGGGTTTACTGAAATAATTTGAAATTTTTCTGTTGTTCAAAAAGCACCCTTGGTCTGACTTTGTTAAATTTCAGAATTTTGAAAAACTTTTTTATTACAATTTGTTAGCGAACTATCGCTGTTTACACTAATT